TCTCCATTGCTGGATTATTCCATGCTTCTTGCTGCTTCTTCCAGCTTTTATTATTTCAAAATGTTCAGGAGCAGAAGTTTCCATCAAACTCTCTACTGAAGAGGCCCCTAACCTGCCCCTGGGATAGCTCTCTCTCTGTTCCCCCTTCCTGCTCACCCAGCGTTCTCTCTATAGACCAGAAAAATAGGGAAGGCGTGAAGATGAGGGGAGAGGAACTGTAGCTTCCACGGATGCTGGCAGGAGAAGCGCTTCCTTGTCTCTGCTAGAACGTGGCAGAGATCCAGGTTCGGGAGTGGTGGCGCCCAGGCTACTGATTAAACACTGTTTTGCATGTGGGCTTAATCTCAATATCCAGGGACACAAAAGCTGGAGTCTCTGCAAACATTTCCTTGAATCATCTGTTAATCAAAAGGGGCTCTTGAGGGTACAGAAAGCTGGGGGTTCTAATGAGAGGGAAGTATATGTGTTGGACAGAATGAGATGGCACGGGGGTGGGGGCAGGAGACTCGGGTTCAAATCCCAGTTCTGCTCTTTCCGTGCTGGGCAACACGAGTCACTGCCCTCTCTGAGCCTCAGCTCCCTCCTCTGGAACTCAAAGAAGTAGTCTGAGGATCTCTGTTCCTTTCTAGGACCGAGTGACTCGGAATCTAAAAAAAAATGACACAGGCTCACACAGACACGTCATATCTGCGTGGCCTGCTGTTGTCTATGGCAGTGTACCCCTAATAAACTCCTTTACTACGCTCCTCCTTCATCTCTGGTAAATTCTTTTACCAACCCGAGTCACTGGCTCCCCAGCTCCCCAGCCTGCTTGTGTCCCACAATGTTCGGTGGCCCATACGTGGCCAAGACGCCGAGGGAGCCCCCTTGGCTTCTCTCTCCCCTCCCTGTGGGATCTCCCCCGGCTTGATCTGACGCTCTGTTCTGGAACAGGCTTCCCTCTTCCTTTCTGCTTTCCTTTCTCATACCTTCCTGCCGCTCTCTAGCATTCAGGAATTTCCTGAAGTCTTGCTGAGGTTCAAGGAACCCTGGCTGGGCTACTCTCAGCAGGCTCTGAAACTCAGTCTGACAGACAGAAATGAGCCCCAGCCCCTAGTGGTGAACACACACAGGAAAGAAAGCTTTTCTTTTCTAAATACCCTTCTCTCCATCTCTCCATTCCTCTGACTCTGGCCCTTGAGATGCTCCTTGGTTCTCAGGCCCAACCACGTGGTGCACCTCTGTGCCTTCTCTCTGTGTTTTGCAGGTCACGCCTCCAGTTGGCCAAGCCTCCTGCCTTTGATCGCCCATCACCCCATCACCGAACCAGGTAGAAGTCGCAGTGGGTGAGTCCCCCTCCCTTTTTTCCTTTGCTTTTTGGTCCTTTGTGCCGGCTTTTCACCTGGTTTTGGCACTTGCACCGGTGGCTTCTCTTTCTTGGGGTGGCCCAAAGTAAGAGGACGCTGGAAGCTTAGCCCCTCTCTGTAGGGTAGACCACCCCGGAACGGAGTCTGTGCTGGTTTTGAAGTAGAATTAATAAAATGGCCACATACAGGCTAACAGATTGCTTATTCTTATGCTTGCCCTTAAAACGGTCAACTAATCTGACTGGCCGGTTGCTACTCACAGCTCCAGGCCCATTGTTAAAACTAAAGCTATTAATTTTACTGTTTCTGCTTTATGCCAATAATCGAAAGCAATAATCATGCTTGGTTTCTAAGTTGTTCTCCAGGGAGGTCGCAGAACTGTAACCTTACAGAGTAGGCTGAATACCAAGAAGACAGATAAAGATTGAAAAGGTGACAACCGCTAGCCTCTATAGAAGTGTTCCCCTAGGAGGCATCATGACGCATGATGACGCCATTCTAAGTCTTCTGATGAGAAAATAATTCTGTTGATCGTTATCAATGCTTTATTGTTTGAGCCACGGCTATATAATCACCCTACTCCATCCCCAAGGGGGTTCACAGTTTTGAAGGCAGCAGCCTGCTGTGAGCCCCCTTTGCCTGGCAAAGCAATAAAGCTATCTCTTTTCTTCTAAGCTCCAAGACCCTGTCTCTGAGTCTTTCTGCAACAGTTTCCTTCTCTCTTTGATACCTCCCTAACTACAATGGGAAATGCTTCTTCTAGTCCCCAGGACTCACCATTGGGTTGCATTTTAAAACACTGGGATAAGTTTGATCCCCAGACATTAAAGAAAAAGCAGCTTAGCTTTTTCTGTAATGTCACCTGGCCCCAATACCAACTTCCAGATCAGGAGACTTGGCCCCTTCATGGGACTCTGAGCTACAATCTTAATTCTTTGCATCATAAAGTGGGCAAATGGTCTGAGGCTCCCCTCTGCTCAGGCCTTTATGGCCCTCTTCCAAAATTAAGATCTTTGCAAAAATTGCCACGTGTGTCTCTCCTGATTCTTGGAGACACCGCCACACTCCAGTCCTCGGGACCCAGTGATCAGTCAGACTTCCTAGATGAACCCCTTCTCTCTCAGGCTCCTAACAGCCATCAAATCCCTTCTCTGTACCCTTCATTGTCTCAGCAATCGGGAGGAAATATCGAGGTCTGAGGTTTCATGATCTTATGCAGAATTAAAGTTAATGCAGTTGTTAGGTTTATGGTCAACTCCCTATGTCCAGTACTTCTGGGTTACCTTGGTGGATTTCTTCACTCTAAGGATCTAGTCGTTAGGCCCTTAGGAAATGTATTGAGAAGAAAGAAATGATAGTTCTGTTCAGGCCCCTAGTGAGATTACTAGGTGGGATTCCCTCACCTGGTCAATTAATCCCTGCTCTAATCCTGCCCATAGATTTGAATTTTCTTCTGAAGTTACTCAAGCTCAATCAGAGCAACAAGTAGCAACCTGAAGCAGTAACCAGATACACAGTGTTACAGGAGATTTGTGGTTATAAAAGTATAACTCTAGATGTGGGAAGAAGCAACAAGAGGGAATATCTTCTTGGACCATAACTGACTAGTAAGACCAGTGGTCCAGAAACTTTACTACTGTTAATAAGAACTAGTCCTGTAATAGCACAGCGAGTGGCCTGTCAATGAAATCCTCGCCTGACCTAGGAATGAGCGCTCCTAGTTCTGTGGGATGAAAAGGTCATGAAATGCCTCCCAAGCCATGGTCAAATTTACGATGATTGATGATTGATGACCGATGATCGACTGTGAGGGTGACACAGAAGGGAAGGGGGGCAGAGCATAGCCATTCGAGGAATGGCACAGCAAGTAACATCAAACTGAGTCAACTCCCAGTAGGTCTTGAGGATTAAGATGGTGGGATATATGACTTCTAGTAGACTCTGAGCTTCATTATACTCTCACTGTAACATATTAGCATGGTAAATAACATGCCCACAGGCACCATGACAGTCCCAAGGCTAACCATAAAAGGTCAAAGAGTGGGTGGTGGCCCAATTCTTGGGAATCCCAGCCTCTTCCCACTTGTAGGTATGTGAAGCTACTGAGCCCATAAAAACTGGTGACACTGCCCTTCACCGCCTCTCACTCCCTCCTCTTCAGAGGTGGCCCACACTCTGTCTATGGAGTATGTACTTACTTTTACTTTAACCTGAGCACCCAACCCCCACACCTCATGGCCTTTCTCTTGCCTTTTGAAACAGCCTACCCTCTATGCAGTATGTATCTCTCTAAATAAATCTACCTTTACTCAACTTGAATTCTGTCCTGTGCAAAGCCAAGGACCCACACCTGGCGGGGCATGTCCTAGGGACTCAGTCCAGACTTGTGACACGGCCCCCCTCACGCCCCACATCCGTTTTCCCTGCATCAAGGGCATTTGCCATCTGCCTCCACAAGGGTTAAGTCGCAAGCCAGTGAAGTCGCTGATCTTCAGCGCACCCTGAAAGGAGATGGGGGTGGGGGGGGAGAGCAGGAATGAGGCACTCTGTGCTCTGGAAAAGCTGGTGAAACAGGCCTTCAGAGAGTTAGATATTCTCAGGAAAAGGTTTTATGAGCCCGAACTCTTGCACCTCCTCATATCTAGAAAAGCATTAAAATCACTGATGGTGACATCTACTTTGGCCATTAAGGAGAGCGGTCGTGCAAAACCACACTGCTCTTGCCATCCTTGTGCCAATGTTTATGGCAAAGTAGTCACTAAACAGGTCTCTGACTGGTTCTCCAATGCCTTTTTCTGGATCCCTGAAGGGATCAGGTCTTTCTTTGCAGACATTCTCAAATTTCTTCTCGCTGTTTTTACTGGGTTTAGCTATTTGTCATGGTATCCGCCTACTTTTGAGTTGTATTTATTCCTTTTCTACAGAAATGATTGTCTCTCTTTGAGGTCCAAGAACTTAGGAACAAATGTACCCCTCCTACCAAGATTGCCACCATGAACCAAACCAACATCCTGGTGATGCAGCCCTTGGAAGCCACGGGGGTCTCCTTCCACTCTCACCTTTAAGGCTGCTGGGATGTTGGGGCCCCATATTCCCAGACAGACTGCCACCATAGGCAGAGACAGTGTCACACCCCACATTCAGCAGGAAGTAGATACGGAAGATGAGAACTCTGCCCCTGTTCTGAAGACTTATCACTGCCCATCTGTCAGGTGAGAATGTGGGTCCAACTGACATCCTTCGAAGTCCAACGACCCCCCAATTCCTGGGCTCTCAGATGTCTGCCTGTGATCCCTTAACAGATAAAGTACATTCTTCACTGGGCATCTTGGCCCTAACAAACGAATAGCCCTAAGTAGTGCCTAATCTCACAACAGCTCAGGCTGGCTTGTTTCAGCCCACCTTACCTGAGTCATAAACCCCAATACCCTTCACAGACCCTAAATGTCTTACCTCACCTACAGCCAATCAGAGACTTGTGCACAAGCCGATCAGGCATCTTGTGACCCGACCTTACAAAAGACCCCAACAACTCGGTGCTCATCCGTGTTGCCCTAATAAACTCCTTTACTATTCTCCTCCTTCAAAAAAAAATGACACAAATGAACTTATTTACAAAACAGAAACAGACTCATAGAAAACAAACTTAGGGTTACCAGGAGGAAAGGGGTCAGGAAGGGATAAACTGGGAGTTCGAGATTTGCAGATACTAACTATATAAAATAAACAAACCACAAGTTTATAGCACAGTGAACCATGTTCAAATTTTGTAGTAACCTATACTGAAAAAGAACATGAAAATGAATATACGAATGTATATGTATGACTGAAACTTTATGCTGTGCACCAGAGATTGACACAACACTGTAAACTGAATACACTTCAATAAATAAATAACAAAAAAAAGGCGAAAGGGGATGGGGGAGCGATAAATAGGGAATTTGGGATTAGCAGATAAAAACTACTATATATAAAATAGATAAACAAAGTCCTACTGTATAGCATAGGGAACTATAGTCAACATCCTGTAATAAACCATGATGAGAAAGAATATGAAAAAGAATATGTTTATATATAATTGAATCACTTTGCTGTACATCAGAAACTAACACAACATTATAAGTCAACTATACAGCAATTAAAAAAATAAAAGGAAAGTTCAGTCCAATGTTCTAATCCCAGCAAACAAGTCCTCCCTGTCTGGTACCAAATACGCCTCCAGTCTCATCTCCCAGCACTCCCCTTCTCACCCCACCTCTATGCCTTTTCTCAGTCAGTTTCCTCTGCCTGGATTTCCCTTCCCTTTTTATGTTAACATCTACTTGTCTTCCAATACTTGGCTTGAGTCTCATCTCCTCCAGGAGGCTTTCCCCAACTCCCCGGCCACCAGCTGGGCCAGGTGCCACTCCTCTGGGCCCCTGTAATATCATGGGCATCTTCTACTGTTGCCCGTAACAGCTATTCTTACAGCTGGGGTTTAATGAGCACTTACTAAGTGCCTGGACCACTGCAAGGCCTTTCACTCAGCATCACCTACTTGAATCCTGACCATGCCCCTCAGCCTTCCTCATCCCTCCCTAGGTCTTGGGAGATCAGGTGGAGCCTGGGTGTGCCAGGGCCCCTCCCTGGACTTAGCCCAGTGTCCCCTTCCACCCAATGCCACATCCACACCTGTCTAGGGTCAGGTTCAATCCAGTTAAAAGGACTTCCACTTAGAAGTCATGGTGACATGTGCTCATGCGTCCAGGCCCAGGGCCGGCCCTTCTCCGACTTTTGTCACTGAATTCTCACAGCAATCTATGAGGAAGATGGGGAAATAGTTTTCACTTTACACGTGAGGAAAAACCAAGGCTCTGCTAACATCACAGAGCAGGTGGATGGAGCCAGAAGTGACCTAGGGTTATCTCATCTCAAAGCCCTGTAGCTTTCTGAGTGCCTCCTTCTGTTCCATGGTGTGAAAATCCCCAGAGGATGAGAGCTGTGATTCATTTCTGCATCCACAGCAGGTCATGGCCTCACCCAGGAACCATGAGGCCGGTTGTGAAAGTCTGGGCTGGGCAGGCTCTGGCTCAGTAACTGTTTATTGGCAAGAAGTCAGCAGGGCAGGGTTGTCATCCCCACTTTATAGATGAGGAAGTGGCAATCAGAGAGGAGTAGGAGAGTTGCCCAAGGTCGTCCCTCAGTCAGAAGAAGAGCAGGGACTTGAACACAGGACACTCAGAGACTTTGTGTGGTAAGAGGAAGGAGGCTGTGGTGAGGCTGGGACTGCTGGGCCTGGGCTGGCAGCTTTATGGGTCCTGTAAGTCATGGAGATGTGTCAGAGCCCATCCCTGATTTAATGACCCCTGCTGTAAAGAGGGTCTTGTCCCCTCCAGGGAAGTTGGACCCAGGGTGGCCTAGGCAGTGACAGGTGACACGTTTATAGCAAGCAGGAGAGACTGGGAAATAAGGCTGGGTGACCTTGGTAACACAAAGTAATCTGCCTTTGTGTAACCTTGGAATCGGAGATGAAGGATGAAGCAGGAGCCACCCCTTGTTCTCCAACGTCACACATGTGCAGTTTTCCTGGTGCCCATGATTAAGATGCATCCTTGAGGAAGTGCCCATCCTTAACCTCCTCCCCTGCCCCATGCCTCAGAGGGGACACTCCATGGGATATGGTTCTCCTCCCCCAGCTCACTGGCCCCAAAACATACTAGAGGGCACATTGACGGGAGAGGAGCAGGATTTCTGAGGAGGCAGCTTCCTCCTCCTCTTCTCTGGGAACCCAATGCCATAGACTTTGGAGTGAGTCAAAAGGTCACCAGTTAGTAGCCCCTTAGCCCACCAAAGGCTTCCAAGCCTCTTTCCTGCCTGTCAGGAGGCTGGCCTGGGGTTACAGGGACCCCTGAAATCAACTTCATTCCCAGGAATAGGCTTCCTCCCAGCCCCAGCCCCAAGTCCTAAAAGATATTTCTACAGTCTTGTGAACGCAAACCCACTCCCCAGAAAAAGCTCCGGGATGTGGAATCCCTTCCCTGACTGTCCTAGTGCCAGGCTGATGATTAAATTCTAAGACAGTGCAGACAATAGGGCCCTAAGCCTGATGTGGATCCCTGCTCCCTTCTCTGTAGGATCAAAGCTGCTCCTTGAGGCCGTGTGATCCTGGGCCAGAAGGTGGGGGGAGACAGCCAGGACTCTAACCAAGGAGGAAGCCCCTTTGCCTGAATAGTTCTTGGGGAGGCAATTCTTCTTCAGCAGTCCCTTACCTAGGTTCAAAGGCACGTTGGGGCTGAGAGATTGGCAGCGGATGGGGAAGCCACAGGACCAAAAAGCCCTGGCTTCCTGTTGACGGAGGGGGCCCAAGATCACTGCCTGGTCCCTGTCCCTCTTCCCCACCCAAGTCTGAGTGAGCGTCCCAAACTCCCACGCAGCCCCACTCCATGTGGGACGCACTGTGCCTACAGCGGTGAAGGAGTCTAGAGGCACTGCGGGGGTGGGGGTGGGGATGCACATCCAGGAGCGGGACCACCCCTCCTGAGACATGGAGAAGCTTCCTCTCTGTGGGGGCTCCCAGCCCTATTTCACCAAACGCCAAGACCTCCTTCAAGGAAAGTTTCCTTTCCCTGGACTCTGAAGATTCTGACAGATGAGAAAATCAGGAGGCTACTCGGATCCCAGTCTTTTCCCATCTCATCTCAGGAATCTGGAGGTCCTCAACAGGACCAGCCCCTTCCCTCTTGACCGCATTCGTTTCTCTCTCTCACTGAGCCCCTTTGCAATCAGTTTCTCAGTTCTGCCCCCTCGGCCTCCCCAGCGCTGGCCATCACATACACACTCACAGGAATTTAGTGGCGTCCTCACTCTGTGTTGGAAGAAGTCTTTGCGATGCTTAGAAATTAAGTTTGGAGCAGCCTGGGAGGGAACAGAAAAAGAGATGAGAACCAGAGAATCAGCGATCACTGCCGGAGAGAGAGAGAAACCAGCCTCTTTCTAAGGCAGACCTCCAAAGCTGTCTCCACTCCCCCAGCCCCTAACCCCAACGGGCTGCTCCCGAGGCGAGAAGTCTGCGCGGGGGTCCACGCCAAAACGATTGAAAGCAGGAATCCGGGGCACCCACTCTTGTGTGGATCAAGTACCTTGCGAGTCACTGCTCTGTCCCCAAATTAGAAACCAGGTGTGGGATGGGGGAGGTGCGAGGAAGGAGGAGAGGGGAGGACGCAATAGGTGAGGGGGCCTGGCGCACCGGGTGAAAGGTGGCCGGGGGGTGGGGGCGGGGGTGGGGAGCGCAAGTTGGGGAGCGGAATCTCAGATCAGGGACGGGCGAGGGGAGGGGAGGCCCCGCCAGGGGGAGGAGCCGCTACCGGTGTCCTGCTGTCGAGGCTCCCGCCCGTCGCGGCTCCGCTATAAAACCCCGGCCGGCATGACCGCGGCACCCCCGGCGGCCTCCTCGGTGCG